AAACCCGGGGTGTCAAACCAAGAACAGACCCCTGCCTCAAATCAGCCCCATACTTTCTTTCTCTCACCCACCGAAACACTTCAGGCACTTCCGGGTGGTAGGTTTCAAGTCGTCCCCTTCATAAACAAATTGGCATGGTACGTCACCTTGAACCCACGGCCATCCGCATTTGGTTGTCCATTTCTTCGGATCTACCAAAGGGGAAAAAGAATGGCATGGGCGATGGACTGCACCTGAACTTAAATTTACTACGAACAGAGGAAGCAATGCTCTACGAGCTTCTTTCCTCATCTCCTTCTTCGTCTCTTCACATTCAACATTAAAGCCATCATGATGCAGAGCTTCTTCCAACGAATTGGTCTGCACTTTGATCGCTTCTTCCAGGCAATCTACCCGTCTCAAGGTGTTTGCCAAAGCCTCTGAAAATTCAACTTCGCTCTTGAGCTTCAAGGCTTGTTCCGGAGTGTCTCCCCAGGCTTCTTCAATGTAGTCCCACGTAGCTTTGCTACTGTGTCTAGCATACCATTGAATGGTGGTAAAAGCGCAACCTCTTCTAGCCATATCCTTCACACCAGAACGTCGCATAAAATGCCCAGTGATGGTCTCCACCGCAATGCTGGTCTCAGGACATATTCCGTTGGCCAATTTTACCATCCTCTGGGCCTCGCAGATCATTTCCTTCTTGTCAACGTACAGCCCAGCGTCGGCTATTTGACCTATGAGAGGAATTGCACCTTCTGGCAACACACTCCGATCATGAACTCGCAGCCTTTGACACTGATTGTTCACTATTTCAACCAACACATGAAACGGGCAACGCACATCACCCGTAGTCTGACAATAACACCCAAAGGCCCGAGCAGCACCCCTCCCAGCAACGTCTGTTTTGCTGACTGGCAGTCTCAAAGTTGCCACTTTCGAGCCCAGATCCAGCTGCACACACTTCGTGTCTAAGGTGAGCGAAGCCAACTCGACCTCCCGCAGCAGAAACTTAGTGCCCAGAATCCAGGTAAGAGCGCCCGCGTTGGGTGCCCCTTGTGCCGCTTCGTTTGGGTATGGATGCTTGCCAAACTTTGTGATGAGCATTGCCCAAACTTCTAATTTGACTTCTCCAGCTCGTTCAACCTGGCCGATAGCTCTTTGTGCCATCCGCTTTGCATCCTGCAAGGCAATCTGCAGAGCCGCTGACCACGGATAGCCTGCTCTGGAATGTCTATCCTTGGCTTCGTAGACGTAGCTCTTCACAGCACGATAGCCCGCACTGCGCAGGATGGCAGCATTTTCCCGAATCTTGGCGGTTGTCAGCGGGAGAGGTTCTTCGTGTTTTGCTTTGCTGATGTTCACCCAAGTGGTAAACAACGCATCCTTGGCTTGCGTGGACCCTGTTGCATAAACAAGTGCATCATATGCAGTCATTGCTTCCTGCCGCATTTGCTCATCACCAGCAATTTGTATTGCCAACTTGGACTGCCCGCGATTCTGCTTGCCTTGAGTCTGGTCAGGGAGCCACGGTGCGTCCAATCTGGCCTTTGTCAAAGTCTCTCCGCTATGCAAGGTCAGCCGCAATCCACTCCTATGAAATCCTGGTGGCACATCAGGGTCAGCTTCACCAACCTCTCCCGTCGACGTAGAAGTCAACTCTTCTCGTGCTCGTTCATTCACCACGTTCTGTCCTCTAATTAAAGTTTGCAAAATCGTGCACGAATTATTTGACCTGTCAGGTGTTCTCGAACGTTCCCTTCGTGTCACGATACTCAAGCCCAACTTACGCCTTGCCTCGGCCACTGCAGGGGGCTCTTCCTTCTCTTTCACCGGATCAGCCGCCCATCCCCGCCTGGCTCCCCCCGGGCAAAACGGATTCTTTGTCCAGTGCTTGAGCATCTATGCACGCGGTATCCAGCAAGATAGGCATAACCTCACCCTGCAATGATACCTATTGCCAGCCCGCACAACCAATGCACGCTAGCCTACGCACACCAACCAAGTGCACGGGCTATGAGTGCTCCCAACCAAGGAGCACTCTGGAGGAGGCCCCAACCAAGGGCCTCCTGCTACACACGGGGAGCCCTCACTAAAGGCCCTCCCCTCCCCTTTTCTTTGGTGTGCTATCTATCTAACCCTCCAACCAAGAGAAAATATTCATCGGACTAACTCTCCTATCCAACACTCCAACAAGGAGAACTAACCTATCAAACACTCCAACAAAGAGGAAGGACTCCAACCAAGAGAAAAAGAAATCCTTAACCGAATTTCTTCCAAGAAGTTTTGGCACAGTGGTTCAAACACCCATCTGCTCCACCTGACTCCGTCGCCAAAACCCATCCCATGTCTGTTTTCTCACCAGGCATTTGGCTTGTTTGGCCAAGTCCGGTAAAAGTGCTGGGACCTTCTAGGTACATCCAAACGAAGGATGTTGTTGAGCTCCAACGGAATCGCCTCCGTGTGTGGACGACTCAATTTGTCAGGCAGTGTATTCAGCAAACCGGGCAAATGTTGTGCCACTATGGCATGAAGTCCCTGTGCCTCCATTTCCAACACCAGCTCCGCAGTCAACTGCGCCATCAGCGGGCTTGACGCACGATGATTCATTGCAGCATTTAGGGTTGCAGTGTTATCCCCTTTGAGGATCACTCTCGTTGCTCCCAGGTCTGCTATAATCTGTGCACAGCTACGCAAGCCGACAACGACTGCCAACAACTCGTATTCCGACTGGAATGAAGGGTCGCCAGGTGTGGCATTGAACAACTTGTAATCTTCTGCTGTCAATGCACTGCTAAAGTATGCAATGATTTGCTTTTGCTTGATCAACACGCCTCCCAAACCATATGGAGAAGCGTCTGTTTGCAACAACAGAGTCACTGCATACGGCCGCCAGCGATGAATCTTGCTCAAGCCCACTTTTCCCTCCGACAGGTGTAGCAATCCCTTCAGCCACCGGACTGCATTTTCAACCTGCTTGACGAAAATGAGCCCTTTTCTTCTCCGCGTTGTTGCCTTCACAGGCTCTCTATATCCTGTGATAACTGACCACAGGATAGCCAACCATGGTCTCGCGGCAGGTATAGCTGAAGACAACCAGCCTAACACTCCCACTGCATACTGTAGTAGCTGCAGCGGCATCATGCCTCGGGATTGTTCCAGCTGGTCAAACACTTGCAACAACTTATCTCGCTTGGCGTCCGCCAGTTCCACGTGAAGGTCCAAGCTATCCGGGCCACAGACACTGAGTTTGAAGCCTATCCACTGCAACTCTTGGCCTCTATGGACCTTCTTCCATGACACTTCCAAGCCCAGACTCAACCAAAGCCCTGTGTAGTAAAGCAAGTGTCGTGTATGCTGCTGTGGGGAACTGGCCACTGAAACAATCAAGGGATCGTCAATGTAGCAGTTGATGTCAGTCTCATGGCTTTTGAGCACTGCTTGACCCAGACGCATTGCTGCTGCTGCCACGCGTGACCACAACAATGGCCCTGTAGCCAGCCCAAACACTACGCAGTTGCAAACGTAGTACCTTGACCAGCCCTCCTCGTCATCTTGGCCTTTGATGACCACGTAGCAACGTTCGTCTGCTCGCAACTGCAACATGTTGAATGCGTCTTTGAAGTCTAAGGCCATCAACTCAATGTAGCTGTCTGGGAACCATCCTTGATTGTTTGAAACCAATTGCAAGAACCCTGTGGCAACATCCGAAATCCTTGGCAATGTCACCCTCTCACGGCACTTGATCATGCCATTGACCCCGGACCTGCGTCCGTCGAAGATGAGCCTTGATTTGACTGTGCCATCCTCTTTGGTTTTGACAATGCAGCCAACCTTCGTGAGCCTTGCTGCGTGACCCACCTCTGTTTGAACTTCTTCCCACGAATGAAACAGCTGCGCTCGTCCTTTGTCCAACATCTCATCCAAAAGTGGTTGTGCTTTGTCTACCTCCTGAACAAAGCTGCGATAGTTTGTCAGCTCACCCAAGTGATCCTCCAACACTATGCCCTCCACTCTTGAAGCTTCGACAGCAGCTGTATCCTCCATGGTGCTAGGGAAGACTCCAACTTGTTTGATCTCGCTAGCAATGCCTAAGGGGAAGCCCGTGGTCATCCATTCTGGTAACACCTCCTTTTCAGGATCATCGGCGGCTGCCAACAAAGCTTGCCACAACTCCACCGGCCATCCCTGCTGACTGGGTTGAACGCCAAACTCTTTGCATAGCCTGATCTTCAACTGATCAATGTGTTGCTCTGAAATGCCAGCCTCAAGCTTCTGTTGAACCTCCTGTACGAGCTCTGCTGTCATCCAGTCGTCCATCACTGCTCTAATCCTAAGCCCCACATTTCTCAGCATCGAAGACCGTGCAACCGCTCGCTTGGCAAAGCGCAAACCTCCCCACGCTTCAACGTTTTCTCTCTCTCTCTTCGTTCAGCGATGGTCTCAATCCGGGAGGGACCCGTTGTCTTTCTCTTCTGTGGCAAAGTCCCCGCCAGTGCAAGTGTATTCTTCCACCTGCCTAGTTTCACATAGCTTCTGGCTTGCATCCATTTGTACCCTTCTTCTGATTCCAGCCACTCAAGCAACGCTCTTGTCCACGCAACTGTAAGGCCACATGGGTATTCTGCAGCAAGTGATGTGCGCCAAACAAACTTGTCCTCAAGATAAGACCAGGTCATCCCCACCAAGCCTCCTTTCAAACGGTAATGCGCTCCGACTTCATGACACAAAGCGCATACCTTCTTCATCCAGCTGCTTGTTGTGAGGATGCCCGTTGCTTTCTGAGTAACAGCCCCGTACGGACACTGATGCAGCAATACAAGTTCAGCTCCTGGAATGCGAAAGAGCCTGGCCATACACTTGAGCATCCAAATAAAGGAGTCCCAAGGATTCTCAATCGACCAAGTGCTCCCTCTTTCCGTCAGCCTCAAAACCAACAGAATCATCCGAGCCACAATCTTGTTTGCTTATTCTGCTTCGGGATCGCCCCAGCCTTCTGGTTTGGCGTCTGACCTCAAGACTTTGACGACTCCGTGCTCATCCGACCTTCTTGCACGTGTGTACGTCCGGCATGGAGGCGCCATGTGTCCGTGATCTAGCCTGTCGCACAAATCCAGCCCCTGCTGCAGTCCATCATCGGTCAAAATATCCCAACCCTCAAAACCATCCAAGGGTCGCGACACCCTGACTGCCTCACCACCCAGCTCTTCCATTGTAGCTGAGAAACCTGCATATCCAGCGAAAAATTCACCGAACTGAAAAGGCCTCATCTTCTCGACATCAGCCCTGAATTCACTTTGATCTTCTTGCAAATTCTGACGTGCATCCGCCTGCGACTCTGTAAAATCTGCCACAGCCGCAAGCTCTTCCTCCTCCTGTCACTTGCCCTTGCCCTTGCCCCGTCCTCTACCCGCGCCCTTTTCACTGGCTTTCGGGCACTGGGAATTTGGATGGGGACCAAGGCAGTACTGACAACAATGAGACCTTCCCTGGGGGCACGGCTCTGAGCAAGCACCCACTGCACCCTTGGCGAATGCAAAACAGACTTGACGTCCTTCACGATCCGTCTGAAACTCTCGACCTGCACGTCGCGGATGGGTGTTGTCAGGTTGGCTTGCTTGCGGACCGGCACCTGCTGTCTTCCTCCATGGGGCTTCCGCGAACTTTTCCGCTCCCGGATCCTTCTGAAGACTCTGAATCTTTGCTTTGTCTCTCTGTCTGCGACGAGCTGCTTTTGATTGTCCTTCACCTGGTGGTCGATGCAAAGCCTGCGAAGTAGCCTCAGAGTACTGCGTATCCTCTGCGTCCTTCTTCGACATATTCTTGCTTGCGCCACCTCTGGCCAAGAATGTCTGCGCTGGCCGAATGACAACTCTGTCCCAATATTCTTGACACCGAGCTGCATATTGGAAGACTCCAACCCATGGCCTGTTTTGATCGAAGTCCAAATTCATCGGCAGCCTGCCTTCGTTCTTGGCTCTCACTAGCTCTCGTTGAAACCTCTCGAACTGCTCCCCTCTGCACTGATCTTCTGCTTGTAGAATCAGGTGCCAAGCTTCTGGAAATTCATTATTCAGCTCCACAATACGATTGTAATACTCTTCCAATGCAGCAACCGTAACGATGGGTGTTGCTGGTGTCCTTGTGGTAGCATTTGCAGGATGTTTCAACATGAGGAGAACAGTTCTATAGATCTTCCAGCATGCACTCCAAGCCATAAAGGTTGGTGGACCTGGAATCTCCACTGTCTTCCACGTTCCATCTTGCTGCAAAATGAAATTCCTCGCCTTGGCCTGTTTCTGTGTTCTCCTACCGAATGGAGTAAGCACCGAGAAATCAGCGTAGGGAGCTTCAAATCTCTTCAGCACTTTTGTGTACATGGCTGTAATTTGTTCAACTGTAGGGTCAGCATCCACCAACGGGTCAGCCCCAACTGCTTCTCTAAAATTCCTATAGGCCTGTTCAACTTCGTTGCCATCCAACAAATCGACTTCCGACTCATCCAACTGATCCACTGCCGTCGACATCTTCACACGCTTTGTTGGTGAGCTTCCAGACCTAATCGAAGCCGGGGCTGCTGCTCTAGCTGCTGCTGACCCTGTTGCATGGGCTGATGGTTCAGGAAGCAATGGATCAACATCAGGAAGGGCGTAGGCTTGTCTTGTAATGCGCCAGACCAACCCAATCTGAATGATCTCCACAGCTGTAAGAACACGCTCAGCCGTGGTAGCGGTGGCAGGAATTCGCGCACGTTCAAAGGCTGGTTGAAGGGTTGCAGCGGGGAGAGAGGCAAACACCCGCATACTATCAACACCACCGAGACAATTTGACATGGCCAGCCATGGGGCCTCATCCAATCCAACCCAGGTCAACACATCATCGATGGTGCGCAAACTTGCCAACTCAACGTCGGTGGGCAACAGGCTTCGTGCCATATCCTAAGCCTGGAACATCGCCCGGGCCAATCAAGGCCGGTGTCAACGCTGACACCTTGCGAGTGCCACTGCGATGGCAGCAGCACCACGCCCCAGCACACCCCAAGAGCACGCCAACAACCACGGAAACCAGGATCACCAGTTCCAGGTACATGGCAAATGACAAGGGGGAACCGAAGGCTGTCACTCTTGAGCCAAAATGGTACAAGAGTGACAATGAATCCCCACCACCAAACTACACAGCTCATGTTTCACTGCACCACTGCGTGGTTTCACAAAAAATGCCGTCTATGATGACCTAATGATCCTAATGCTGCAAACTGACTGCAGATGTCGCAGGCTTTTCGGGGGCGTCCTAAGCTGCGCTGCAGCTTGTGTGTTCGTGGGAACTAATGAGTAAATTACGGTTGGTTGGGATGGTGGGCACCATATTCTCCTCCCACTGTCGGCAGGACGTTCGCGATCCAAAAAGGAATTCCGGCCAAGCTTCGCTCACCACCCCTCCGTGTGTCTCCACGATCTGTGTCATTTCACTCAAGTACATGTAAAGCAGGGTGAGCAGGTCCGTCTGTGACAACATCTCGGAGATCGTGGTGAAGCCCCGGATGTCTGAAAACATGATGGTCACGTTCTTCCGCCGCACATGGATCCGCGCCGCCCTCTTATCTCCGTAGAGGATCTGCCGCACCACGGTCTCCGGTAAGAAACGAGAGAAGGTCTCGACACTCCGAGCAAGGTTCACGAAACCCATTTGAAGCTCAAAGACCTTGGAGACCAGCGTTCTCCCCTTAGAACCAAAAATGATGTAGTTACTACTGTTCCTACAGCTTGCATGTTAAATAAGAAACTGAGTGAGGCATGAAATATCTTCAAATAGCATCCTCAGAAATTGTTGACGTCCTGCCCGGGCACTTCCCTCAGCGACGACAGTTGGGTGACTGAGCCTGGGTTTAGACCTGGCAGGCCCTCCAAATCCAGGCGCGCCAACTTCTTCATGTAAGTCTGCAGTTTCCGCAGGGGGTAACCCGCAAAGGCGCTGATGCACCAACCCGCTAAGAAGCCAAAGATCGCCGAGATCGTGAGCAACACTGCTGAGATTCGATTGATGGTCGTCACACGGTTCGCCACGTCATCTTCTCTGGCTCGAATTTGATCTTCCTCAATGTGGGTCAAGGCCGCCCTAAAATGGAACACCAAACACAATTGGACTGGCGGATCGCGGATCATCTGTCCCCAACGACTCCCACATCAGTCCCAAGTGGCCCATGTCCTTTGATTCGTCGCAGCTGCTACAGTGAAGGCTTCCGCAGGCAAAACGACGACCACCAACCAGTGAAAATCATCATCTAGTCGGATCCGGTGCGAGCCGACAGTAAAGCACCCACTGGTGGCATCGCCACATTGCCGCAACCTTAGGCCCAAGACGGTGGCCCTGCTTTGGGATAACGTCCGGGCAATGACATGAATCAAAATAACAAGGGAGCAGCAACGGCTGCACAACGTCATTTCAAGGTGAGAGCACATGACAGAATAAGCCACTTTAAACATTCAAACAACACTGCGTGCTCGTGGAATATGAAATGTATATATATATATAAATACAGCAAAGATCGTGCCAAAGCCGGGTGGGCGGCCCATTTGCTTCGCTAAAATTCATCATGAACATGGACTGCAAAGGCTCGGCTTGCCAAGAGCCCACCCTCATCAACAGTGCTTGGGCAGTTTTGGAGACAAGGGATATCGGAGAATTGTTGGCATATCTGAAGCTACAGCCCTGCTCCTTGGCGCCACGGTGTCCGTTGCAAAAGGTCTAAATCAAGCAAAAACAATACACGCGCCGCGCTGAGCCTTTGGAAAGTGACCATCCTTTGGAACTCGTGTTTTCCCCTAGAAATCATGTGGTTTCTCCACCATCTCACTAATCAAGCAGGCAAGCGCAAGTATTGAGTTCTGTCCAGTTCGTTCAGGTCTCTGGATCGTTGGAGGCTGCCAGGACAAAGCCTTCCTGTTTAGGTGAGGCGTTGGACTTTTGGATGATGGTGAAAATGCTGGAGTTCTCCGCTCCAAGCTGGTAATTATAGATGGGCCCTTTAAGCTTCTTTCGGATATCATGCCATTGCTCCTCAAAAAAGACACATCTCTTTGATCTGTGAAATTGAATTGAGATGAGGCAATGCCAATTCATCACAACATGCGTTCCAAGATCACTCACACCTATGGACACCAATGCCCACGCGCTCCTCAAGCGCACGCCTGATGGACACCAAACTCACATGAGATGCAATCGCTCCACAAAAGCCACCATTGCAAGCTCCCTGGCATGTTGGAATGGGCAGGGTCTTCGCAAAACCGCAGCTCCCGTGCAAAGGATTCCAGATGGTATAATTGAAGACTCCAGTCCATGCGTCAGAGGACGAATGTTGCTGATTGGCCCCGTGGTCCGAAAGATTCTTCTGTATCAGATAAAAGGGCCGCGTCTCAGAGTCAAAATTCAAAGTCTCAACCAAGTGTGGTTGGCTTCCAGCTTTGTCTTTTGTAAAGACCTGGAGGACCGTTTTCCCCCCCGGCAGCAGCGGAACTGTTTTGAAGATATATGATGCATTGGACTCGGTTGTGTTCAACAGGATGGAAGAGCCCGCATCCAGCCCGTTGCAGTACGCCACTACCAAGCTGTAAGCAAAGCCTCTCAAGGGCCCGCGGATCACCTTCGAATTGAGTCAGAGAAAGAAAAACATACAAGCAAAAAAGAAGCATAAAGCATCCAAGAATCATCAAGGATCTCAAGTATGTCAGACTGAAGGACTGTTAGAAAGCCGTTTCAACCAGGACTGCCCAAGCTGGCCTGCTGCTGTTTCACATTGGCCTCCTCCCATTGGTCATGAAGTTGGGTCCACGCAGCGGTTGCCAAGACATCTGCCCAATGTTCCCATCCTTATATGATATAAGGCAAGCTCCAAAGATTCAGAAGTCCGAAGAAGGTTCTACTAACGCTTACAATCTCCAAGCTTTCTTGGCAGAGCAGCCGCATGGCCTGGTATACGAAAAGGGTTGGTCGAAGCGCCCTAGCCCTGCAAACAAGATGAAACAAACAACTGGTTTGACAAACGTTTCGTTGGCTGCCTTGCCTGGCTGGCAGGTCAATCTATTTTGCTTGGTTCTGTCGGCGCGGCACTGCATCCACAGAGGCTTGTATCGTTCCTTTTGGTGAACTGAAGCAGCATTACTTTGCGGATGCCTGTCTGTGATTAGCAAAGACATGCAAAAACGCAACCATCTTTGATACAGGAACGGGTCGGAGCTGCTCCAAACAAGCTCCAAAGTTTGCGAAGAAGCAGCACCAAAACCAAGAAAAAAAATGAAAAAACTGTACGTTGCACGAAGAATTGATTGGACATCTTCTGAACAAGTGTTTGTGGACTGACCAAAGAGTAGAACCACAAGACCGCCGAATAAGAAAAGAGAATCAAACAAGAAGGCAGCACCGAGGGTCCTGGCTGCATGGGCATCATCTTGAGCAAGCTGAACATAAATTGTGCTGATTGACTCGGTGGCTGGATGATGTACCACCACACTGTCCACTCGATTTTCAGAAGCAATTGGCGATAGGAGGTGTTGGAGGCCTCCAGAATCTGCTGGTTCAATCGACTGCTTTGAGAATTCAAAGATTCCTGGGCTGCGAAGCAGAGGCTTAGAAGACCTATAAGCACTCTGCACCAGCAAGGAAAAGCCACTCTAAGCATCTATAAGCCAGCACATTCTGCCAAGCTGCATTGAAAAGCTCTAGAGTGTCGTCATGTGCCGCGGTCCACTCGACCATCAGATAGATATACATCGATACGGATGAAAGGAGAATTGCAACGATGATCAAGCAAGATACCGCGCATCTTAGCCTCTGTCGAATTGCTGTCTACAAAAAGACTATGAACAACCAAACCCAAGAGTTCATAAACTCCTCCGACGCTTCAAGAATCTGAGAGTTCATTCCGTGGCTCACTCGTCAATGTCTCATGACATGTGTACTCATGTGGTGTTCAATTAGGGCGACCTCCCACTTACACCCCCTGGAAGAAGGGAAATAGACCAAAACCCATTGGTTGGGGCTCTCCCCAATAAAGCAACACACGCTCACAACCCCTTCTGCCCAGGGCACGGCAGCTTGCATCTCCTCACTGCCGGTGACTCGTAGGAGTGCGCCGAGCACAGGCCGTCCGACTCGGAGCGATCCAAGGTGCCGTGGATCGTGCGCAGCCTTTGGCGCACGATCTCCATGACACTGCTCTGTTGGGGGAGCTCGTCCCCCTCCTTGTCCTCAAAGCCCGACCGGTTTTGAAGAGCCCCCCGGGGCCCCCGAGTCCAAAAGAGCCAAAAAGGAAAAGGACGGCATGCTCTCCAGGACATGTCAATTGGCTGCAAAGGATCAAAGACATTATATAATTAAGAATTGCATAAATGAACAAAAACCATCCATAGAACTCCAAAAAGCAATGGGTCTCCTGATCCAGTCAAGTCTAGGACTTCGCAGCAGAAAAAAGAATGGTCCAGGGTCCAGAGTCAAGAGAAATGATTGAAGCAGAATCGCGACGGCACAACACATTGACATGGCTGACTACTAGGAACAAGAAGCTACTGGGGGCTCCTGGCATCGCTACTAGGAGCAAGGACGCTATTAGGGGCTCCTGGCCTTACTACTAGGGACAAGAAACTACTAGGGGCTCCTGGCCTCGCTACTAGGAGCAAGGACGCTATTAGGGGTTACTGGCCTTACTACTAGGAACAAGAAGCTACTAGGGGCTCCTGGCATCGCTACTAGGAACAAGAAGCTACTAGGGGCTCCTGGCATCGCTACTAGGAGCAAGGGGTACTACTAGCAACAAGAAGCTACTAGGGGCTCCTGGCATCGCTACTAGGAGCAAGGACGCTATTAGGGGCTCCTGGCCTTACTACTAGGAACAAGAAGCTACTAGCGGCTCCTGGCATCGCTACTAGGAGCAAGGACGCTAGGGGCTCCTGGCATCGCTACTAGGAGCAAGGACGCTATTAGGGGCTCCTGGCCTTACTACTAGGAACAAGAAGCTACTAGGGGCTCCTGGCATCTACTAGGAGCACGGACGCTATTAGGGGCTCCTGGCCGTACTACTAGGAACAAGAAGCTACTAGGGGCTCCTGGCATCGCTACTAGGAGTAAAGACGCTACTAGGGGCTCCTGGCCTTGCTACTAGGAACAAGAAGCTACTGGGGGCTCCTGGCATCGCTACTAGGAGCAATGATGCTATCAGGGGCTCCTGGCATCGCTACTAGGAGCAAGGACGCTATTGGGGGCTCCTGGCCTTACTACTAGGAACAAGAAGCTACTAGGGGCTCCTGGCATCGCTACAGCAGCAAGGACGCTATTAGCACCTCCTGGCCTTACTGCTAGGAACAAGAAACTACTAGGGGCTCCTGGCATCGCTACTAGGAGCAAAGATGCTATTAGGGGCTCGTGGCCTTACTACTAGGAACAAGAAGCTACTAGGCGCCCCTTGGCATCGCTACTAGGAGGAAGGACGCTATTGGGGGCTCCTGGCCTTACTACTAGGAACAAGAGGCTACTAGGGGCTCCTGGCATCGCTACTATAGGAGCAAGGACGCTATTAGGGGGCTCCTGGCCTTACTACTAGGAACAAAAAGCTACTTGGGGCTCCTGGCATCGCTACTAGGAGCAAGGACGCTCCTGGCCGTACTACTAGGAACAAGAAGCTACTAGGGGCTCCTGGCATCGCTACTAGGAGCAAGGACGCTATTAGGGGCTCCTGGCCTTACTGCTAGGAACAAGAAGCTGGTAGGGGCTTCTGGCATCGCTACTAGGAGCAAGGACGCTATTAGGGGCTCCTGGCCTTACTGCTAGGAACAAGAAGCTACTAGGGGCTCCTGGCATCGCTACTAGGAGCAAGGACGCTATTAGGGGCGGCCTTACTACTAGGAACAAGAAGCTACTAGGGACTCCTGGCATCGCTACTAGGAGCAAGGACGCTACTAGGAGCAAGGACGCTTCAGCGAGTAAGTTTAAAGCTACTAGGTCCAAACCATCTCGGCCTTCTCAGAGACGGACTCGCTGGACTCACTCCCGTCGCTGGACTTGGCATCGTGCCCGCTGGTTGCTGAAGCGCATTCCTCATAGGTGGCGCTCATATCGCGTACCAGTCGCACTCATGGCAGCCACGGTCGGTAGCGTAATTTCGGAGAAGAAAGGCCTGGTACTGGTACAAATCCAAGGCTGATCAGCGATCTTGCTTTCCGTGAGCATGGGCCAAATCATTTTGAAGAATAAGTCGTTCTCGTGTGCGTGTGAAGTTTCTTCTTACTGGTGTTCATGCTTTTGTTTGTGGGATGTCGGCCTGCAAAACAGGGCCAGCCAATCAAAAGTCTCCGCGCTGTACAAATGGCTGCGGCGGGCAGGCGGGTGGAAGAGCAAGGCAGTTGCTCGTGTCTGCATTGGTTGTGTGCTTCACGTGAAGGATTTTGTCTGGGAACAAACACAGTACGAGTACATGTGTTGACCAACTGCCCTTAAGCAGAAACAGAAGTTTTCCTGATGCCACTAAAGGGGAAAACCTGCAGACATGTCCTCAAGCTTTCATAACACCCTCCATCCCACAAGCCCTGTAGGTAACTGGCTGGATTTGGAGCAAATCATAGTACTCGGTATCTGCCTCAGAGCTGTCACCCTCCAGTCTGAAGCTTACAGTACATTGACATTGCACATTGTATATTAAAAGCAACCTAAGAGCGATGGCCTCCAACCTAGAAGCAATGGCCTCCAACCTACTAGCGGCCTCCAAACTGCTGTGTAAGGCCATAGCCACTTGTCCATCTGAATGCGGTTCTCCCGAACCTGCTATCAAAAGTAGCCTGTGTGGAGCATGCTGCGAAACCCCAAGACCTCCTGGAGTGGAGCTCGTGTCCTTGTCCGTCTCCTAACGGCAAGCGAACCACTTGGAGCAAAATCCAACCTCCTCCATGGCATCCGAGAAAGCAGTGGGCCACTCCTGTGCCATCTGGCGCTCCAAAGCACAAAGGTCCACATCAACCTGCTAGAAAGCAAGATCCCAGCAGTACAGCCAAAACAACCCGCCACATGATTCCTCTCTCAGTCGGCCGGGAACCGCCAATTCTCTTGGAACTCGGCCCATTTCCCGAGCTCTTGATCCCAAACCTTCTCTTCACCTGATTGGGCCGACGGGCCGCGAAAGCCAACCTATGACGCGGAGATGGCGCCACGAAAGCAACCAAAACAAAAGAATGTGCCCAAATCGAGGAAGAGACGCCGGGCTCTGGCTGCCTTTGGGGCTTGCATAAGCCCTCTCCCAACCTGGAAGACCAAGACTGCTGAGACTTGAGGCCAGGGGGAGGAGGTCGAAAGCTAGCCGAATCGCACCGGATGTACTAGTTACATAGCCGGCAAAGCATGTAGTAGTGATTACATGTTTTGGGAGAAAGGCTGCTACGTACATATTTTGCGCTAAAGAATGTAAATGTGACATCGCCGACTGGGAAGGGAACAACACGAGTGCAAGCGTTGGCAGGCACGAAGATGCGTGATCGGCAAATCTGGGGGTTAAGTTTACCCCCCGCTTTTGTACGCCTTGAGTCGGAAAGAGGGGTAAGCATTTCTGACATCACACGGACTGTCCATACACTAGGGCGTCCGTAGTGTAGGAGAAGCACGGGTAAAGGTATATAGAATAAAGTGTCTTGAGGAAATAGCCGGCTTATGGTTATTGCAAATCTGGGAGTTAAATTTATCCCCGCTTACGTATGCCTTGTGCCGGAAAGAGGGGTAAGCATGTCTGGCATCACAAGGTCTGTGCATACACTAGGGCGTCCGTAGTGTAGGATAAGCACTGGTACAAGGTATAAGGAGTAGAGTGTCTTGAGGAAATAGCCGGCTTATGGTTATGGCAAATCTGGGGGGCAAAGTTACCCCCCGCTTGTGTATGCCTTGAGCCGGAACGAGGGCTAAGCATCACAAGGACTGTGCATACACTAGGGCGTCCGTAGTGTAGGATGAGCACTGGTAAACGGTATCAGGAATAGAGCGTCTTGAATAATAGCCGGTGTATGGTTATAGCAAACCTGGGCGGTAAATTTACCACCCGCTTAGAAATAGGGGTAAAGAACTTGTAACAATGAAGTACAAGTCCTATGCAGCAAGCAGCAGCCAGCAGCAGCAGCAGCAGCAGCCGCCGCCAGCAACCAGCAGGCAGCAGCAACCACCAACCAGCAGCCAGCCAGCAGTACCACGCAGCAGCAGCAGCAGCAGCAGCACAGCACCAAGCCGCAGTAGCAGCAGCAGCACCACCAGCAGCAAGCAGCAAGCAGCAAGCAGCAGCAGCAGCAGCAAGCAGCAGCAACAGCGGCGTCGTCAGCAACAGCAGCAGCAACACCAAGCCGCAACAAGTAGCAAAGCAGCAGCTACAAAAGCGGCAACCAGCGGCAGCAGCAAACAGCAGCAGCAAGCAGCAGAGCGGCAGCAGCAGCACCGTTTACACCAAGCCACCGTTTACACCCAACCAACCACGTTCACACGTTCAACCAACCCCCGCCAGTCGAACCGTGGGGGGGGGGAGGGGGGGGTTAGTGTGATATACTACCAATTGCTAAAGCAAAGAAGGATCAGCTAGAATGCTAGCTTTCGTGATTTTGCCAAACCACACATGTCCAAGACAGTAAATTCAAACACTTTGCTCTCAGGTAATGAAGATTCATCAACTGACGAGGCGCAGCCGAAATGTTATGTGATGCATCCACAAGACAAAAACGAGCAAATGATCATGCTTCCGACGAAGCTCGTCAATGAATGCTAAATACAAACACTAAATCAGTGGATGTTTTGCAAAGACGCAGGCAAAATCCCATGAGTGTCATCTTGGCTCTCCAATAATTAGATGTGTTTCCGCTATCCAAGATCATCCAAAATTCAAGTGCATGATGTCTTTGACATCCTGGTTTTGAACGCACACCCCAAAATCCAAAATACCAAACAAAACACCAACAATTTCCAACGTGTAACAACACCTCCACTAATGCCAAAACGCCTGCAGCTGGGAGTTGAACCGCGGGGTGCCCCCCCTTAGTGTGATATATCAAGCTTTAGGGCACGCAGCTCATTCCACTACCAATTGCTAAAGCAAAGAAGAACTCAGCTAGCATGCTAGCTTTCGTGACTTGGAGGGTGTCGTCGTAACGTCGTAGGGGACCGGCAGTCTCTCGACGGCATCCCTCAAGTGTTTTGGAGAACAATTCGGCTGAGTCGATGTGGAGTTCTGTGAGCATCGTTTTTGAAGGTATGCTATGGATACTATACACATGCACATTCTTCCAGATGACGATAACTGAATCATTATATAACAACACCAAGTGAGAAAAACGGTAGATTTGTCAGTTTGTCAGTTTCCAGGAGTAATGACTCACCTTGAAACCTGGATGTCTCATAGATCTGATAGCCAGGTGTGGTTGATTCTGATGCATTCCACACTGCTTTGCTGAAGAAAGCCTCTGGGCGAAATCAAACCCACCCTCAGTGCTTTACAGCAGAAATCTTACCTATGAGGTCAACCAAAAGCACCGCAAAAGGACCCCCAAAGCCTCCCAGGCGTGCCTGAGCAATGCCGCAGCCGACACCACCGACCGCCATGGCGGCACCCCCCAAGACGCCCACACCTCGTACGGGCTGCGACCGAGCCGAAGGACCCACGATGGCCGATCTCAATGCCACATGCTGCATGGCCCTGCATGGCCCTGCATGCCAGTCAACTTGGCAAAGACCAACGGAAAGATCTTGCAAGGTCTCACCAAGCTTCCAACCTAGTCCCTTGACGAATCCCGTCGCACCGCCAGACCTGCAACGCTTCAAAACGAATCTGCCTCAGGAAGCCGCGGCTTCCTTCGCGCGGCGTCGGGCTTCGCACCTCGCTCCCGCCACTGGTGCCGCAACCTGAGCGGCACTGGTGGCACCCACCCGCTGTCTCCACACAGCTGAGGCGTTGGCGATCGTTACCAAGCCACCAGCCACACTCACCTGGCAAAGGAAATGGGGCCTTCGGTGCAGGGGGGCTGCATAAAGGCCTCTGCCCTTGACTGAGATTTGGCAATGCTCTGCATTCTGGTTGGCAGTGGCGCGAAAGTCACTGGAATTCATCTTTCGGCTATTTGATCTTCAATGCGCTTCTCACAGCCTTCTCTTACCCTGCAGGTGCTTCTGTGGCTCCCATGCAGCGAGCAAAATCTGGACGGGCCACTCCAGCTGTCTTCAAGCCACGAACAAGTCCATCTGTGCCATCCTTCGGGCGTCTCTGAATGGCCGAATGACTTGAGGGGCCACAGCAAAAACCTATTATATAAACTGTCGGATCATTTTGTATAGCTTGTGGTGAATGAGAGCCACCGGGAACCCAAAAGATATCAAGAGATCGGACCAAATCTGTTCAGCGATCTTGGACCACATTGCGACGTTTTACGGCTTGAGTCCTTTGGGCGAGTCAAGGCCATGAAGTCACCTCCTTCTTTGCCACCATAGGCACCTACAGGTGCGAGAGACTCCAAGAACCTCTTTCCCTAACTCTTTCAGGAGAGTCTTGGGATGTGGTCGATGCAACATATGGCGTTGACGCGGGATGAACTAGAAATGGCTCTTCGGGCGTGAGGCCCCACTTGTCCACACAAAGATCCATGCCGAATGGTAGCAGCTCTGGGGCTAGTAGGTTGGAGGCCATCGCTAGTAGGGTGGAGGCCATCTCTAGGGGTGGGTTCCAGAAAGCCTGGCCTGGTATCGCCAGAGCGGTCGAAGACGTCGAAGGCACGTGTTCGACTTCTCCTTCCGCTCCTTCTGCTCCTTCCGCTCCTTCCGCTCCTTCTGTCTCTGACTGCTCCTCGCAGTGAGCGGTGATCAAGTCATGACACCGGATAGTGTGTGGTGTCAAAACCGAGGAAAGTGCGTTCTCCTTTGGGGACAGGTCACTAGCTGTGGGGGGCACGAACTCGTCCAGCTCGGAGAAGATCCTCGCCGCAAAATGGCCGGGGCATGTGTGAAGTGCCAGCCGTGATGAGAGTCCTTCAAATCACTGCCATAAAACCAAACGACATTGGCGTGTTACTTCCTTTTTTTGCCATGCCCTTCCCGAAGACCCAGCCTGACTCGTACACCCTGTTTTGTGGCCACCTAAGACCAGCTGAAGCACCAATCCAAATGAAGACCTTTTCCCCCCGATTCTTCCACTCATCAAACAAAGACCAGCAGGTGCACATCCAAGCCCCAAGCCCATTCGCAGCCAGGGCCTTGACCCGGAAAACTGGCCTCCTGGCAAGAAGGCTCCAACGTTTCAACTCAACCCACGACACGAGTCTTTGACCATGCTCTCTGACTTTGAGATACCTTGAGCTCGAGGTTCTGCCACTGTCCTTCCTTTGGGGCTCTGGCCGTTGTGGCCGACTCCAGCTTGGGGGCTTTGGAGAGTATCGTCTTCAGGTTCGGTGGAGGCAACTCAGTTCAGCGAGAGAATCAGCGCCACGCATTTCTCCTTTGAAACACATGGGGGAACTGTTCCAAAGGTATGAGCTCCAAACTCCGGCGTAGCACGAAAAGGTATTCTTCCCGATGCGAGGCCTAGCTCAAAGGCGAAAGGAGCTGCTTCAAAAGGTGCGGTCAAAGAAGTGAATCTCAGCCAAGTTTCTTGGACATTGCCATGGACAGGTACACACTGTGCCCCGTCACATCAACCCACCAGGCAACTCCAGACACACCTTCCACCTTAGCCATTCGGCCACTGGCTTCCAGGCACTCGTTAGTGCATGATAAATGATAAGTCGAACATATATATGTATATACACCAGGGCTACATACTGAGCGCCCGCCTACTCTTGTACCTTTTGTGTTGCTGCACTGGAAAACTTACACCAATTGCGTTGCTGCAGGCATACACATGACTTTCCTTACCATGCAAATGATTCAATACTAAACATATATAAACATGCGCGCGCAAAAAAAAAATTACACCAGCATAGACCCAGATAGCAGTAAGAACCCCATAGCCATCCCTATAACAACGTATGATCTTGCCCGTATAAGTTTATGCGCACAAAAGTATGCGCACAAACGGCAAAGCCCGTAGGCTTCACTCGCCCAAGGCCAGCACGACGATTGTGTGTGGAGCACGCTGAGCCATGCTGAAACAATGGTCGGTTGAGAGTCTGACGTTGCGCATAGAACATTATACGTACAAAAGCATGCGCGCAAACAGTACAGCCCTTGACACAGCTGTCGGCCAAAACAGAACCTGAAGAGTGTCAGTACCGCACAGCACTAATAGACAAAGAACGCTCAAGCGACAACACCGTACGATGTTGCGCGTATACGTTCATGCGGCCCATGACTGCTGGCACTTCCTTGTCAGAAGCGGCGGTTGGTCGCCCTTCACTGCTACAAGCGGCGGTTTGTCACCTTTCTTGTCAGAAGCGGCAGCTGTTATCACTTCACTGTCGGAAGCGGGCACCAGCACCGAGCACCGGCACGCCAGCTCACGGCGCCCAGCACCAGCGCCCAGCACCGGTACCCAGCACCAGCACCCGGCACCGAGCACCCAGCACCCTGTCTCCACCACATGCACAGCCAGCGCCCAGCACCCACCACGCGCACAGCCAGCTCACACGCAGCCAGCTCACAGCACCTTCGCTGTCTGATGAAAAGAACTTGAGAGGGGAGGGGACGAATGCCAGCCTCTGGCTTCGGGGGTGCCCTCAGGGTAGGACCGAGCAAAGACTTGGTGTGCAAGAGGAAGTGACGGGGTAACATCGGGCAAAGATTAATTTCATTGGGTAGGTGTATATATATATATAGAGAGAGAGATATATATATATATAGATATGTGTGTGTGTGTAGGCAGAGCGGAACCCGGAAGTGGTGAGGTTGATATGTGAGCGACGTGAGTGCGCAAGATGAACTGATAGGTTTACACTATGTAAGGAGTACGTGAATGTGGTGAAGTTGGCATCGCAGTTACGCGATAGGAGGTAAAAATAGACGGTAGGTTTAAAAGGGGGGCGCCCTTTTTCGTGTGGGTGCAGAAATGTTGTGGAGGTGAAAATTTTACCCTCAAAGATGTTATGTGAGTTCGTCGGCTGCGCGTTGGCAATGAGTGGCCAGAGACGGTCGTGGGCGAGGCCATCGGCAGGCTTTCGTGAGGACATATATATATATATATTTATATGGATCAAACCTGACGGACATTTTTCCGCCAGCCACAGGGTCCTTGCCCCGACTTGAGCCACGGCGTACGTGGCTTGCTTTGGTACACTTCTCGTTTGTGCGTTTCAGCCAACAGGAGACGGAATTCACATCGCTCCTACTTTACATTGGCTGAAACCTGCTGTTTGAGCTCTTTGGCTCCGACTTCGAACAAGGTCCAGTACGCAAGTTTCATGATTCCCCTCAAAAAGCTAGCAGGACCTTTCTTAGTAAGGGCATCCGAAATCATGATTTCCCCCGCCACCCATCGCAGCTGTCCTCTTGTGTGCTGCAAGTCATTCTTCAGAATCGTCAAGTCGATGGCTGTCCTCTTGTCATCCACGTGCGATGCAATGTTGGTCGACTTGCTCAGATTGTCGAACAGCGAGCGAGAATCTGTGACTGCAATGAAGGGGTCCTTCCGATCTGCTGTTGCCAATTGGATAGGTTCATTCGAAGGCCTTTGATCTCCGACCACATGAATCGAATCCAGTAGGAGGCTCCAATTCCATAGATCATGGCCTGGGCTTCGGCAGCTAAAGTGTTCACAGTGCATCTTTTCAACTTATAGCTCTTCCATCCCAGGATAGAAATTGGTTGAGGAGCTTGATCTACTTCTAGATCCTGATGGTATGCAAAGACGATGTGGCCTCCTTGGCTATGAGTTCGTCCAACTTGCAAAAACTTTTCATGGATTTCCAATCTGGTCTTTGACTTCTTTTTCATGAAAACTGTGTGCCCTTTCCAGATGCTTTCACCATGTTTTCGAACATCTTCTCGACGATTCCAGGTGTCCTCAAAGAGTTCGCCGTCAATCCAAGTTGCTCGTGCTGCCTCTAGTTCATGAAGTTGAGGTCCGCCGGTTGCTGCTCCTGGATGAAAGAGTAGATGTCGAGGTTGAACATGGTGTCGAATCCAGAGATCTCCTCTTTCTTCCCAGAAATCCTTGCTCTGTTCTTCAAGTTCAGGACATGGAGAGTTTCCCCAGCTTGCATCCGATGCTGAACCGATTCTGACCTTCTGGAACTCGATTGGCATGATGGTGATGCCTGTGTCGATCTCCGCAATGGCCTCTTTTGCTAAGGCGTTTGCTTCTAGTAAATCACGGATGTAAGGCTTCGGCATGCATTGTTGGAGGATGCTAACTCTTCCAATGAGATCTGGTCTGCTTTCTTTGGCCAACCATGCAAGTGCTCCCAGTAGTGCTCTCAAGGCGGAGATCTCCGTCTCGCTGCACAAATTGTACTTTTCCATTCTTCTTTCTTTGTTGATGGGTATTGTTTTGATCTTCTCCTTGACGTACATTTGTTGATGGACTCTGATCCTTCCATCTTTCAGGCATTGGATCTCCTTTCCAACGAAACGTCCATCACCATGTGAGAACTTTCCTAGCTTGTAGTTGTCTTTGATCCATTGCATCTTTTCCCAATGCCTCTGTCCTCCTCCGTGTAGTAGGTCATCGGTAGCCACTCCTATGATCCCTTCTATCTGTCGTTCTTCCATCTCTGGTCGTTCCACATGTTCTGGTTTGTCGAAGAGGAAGAAAAGGCAGGGATCAGCTTGAGACTGTTCATATCCCAAGCTTTTGAGAATCCTCTGAAGGTGGCTGTACCACTGGTATGGACCATCAAGCAGACCATAACAGTGCTTTTTCAATCGAAGGAGTTGTCGGTCTTGTACTCCTGGAAGTCCTTCTGCAGGGAGTTCTGCAAATAGAAGGCGAGATATCTCGTCCCCGCTATGGAATGCTTGGGTGAAGTCCAAGTATCCCGGGATCCATTTCTTTGATCCCAAGGTTTGAAGAACCAGTAAAACTGTCTCCGGAGCGACTTGAGGTGTTGCCGCTTCCAACCACTCGGAGTCCGGCTCACTAAAGCCCTTCATCACATGTCGAGCCTTTGCTTTAAATCCTCCGTGTTCATCTTCATGAAGCAGTAGTCCATCGTCTTTGATCTTTGGGACCTCATCTGGCTCGATTCGCTTCTCGACCAGTACGTATCGAGATTGCAAGATGTGATGCCCTTCTCGTCGAATCCTCTCTGACTCTTCTGGTGAGAGGATCTCACAGGCTCCCGTTTGTATATTGTTGTCGACCTCCTTCTTAATGGCTTTCCAGAACTTCGTCCGGGCTTCTTGTAACAGCTCTTTAAGTTTTATTTCTTTTTGTCCTTTCTGCTTCTTGATCTCGGGCGTCAATGTCGTCATCATCATCTCTATCCAGTCAATTCTTTGTCGTTTCGCAGGTCCAGGAGGGTCACTTTCTTCAGCTTCTTCTAGAGCTCGGGACATTCCTCGAGATTCTTTTGTTTGTTCTTCTTCCTCTCTCCTCGCCTTTTTCTCAAAGCCTGTGGCTTCTTCTTCATCATCTTCCATTGTTCTCTTCGTTCCATGTTCTTCCTTCTCTTCTCGCATGCTGGGATCCTCGTAGATCTTCTCCTGGGGTGGTTTCTCTGCCTCGGTCTTCTCCCATGGCAGTGGGTCATCATCCATTTGAAACTCTGTTCTTCCTTTCCAGCGATGGTCTTGTAGAAGAGGTTCTCCATGCCACTCATCAACTATTTCTTGTGTGGTCCCATCCTCAAAGTACATAGTGGTCCTCCTTTGTGCCTTGAGTCGGTTGTAGTCGATGGGACAATCAGCCACGTCGTTTGGCTTGAAGGTTGTCTGCCTCCATTGTCGATGGAACCTGGTCAGCGTTTTGTGAGTTTCATGCCATAGCCATTCATCTTCTTCTGGCTTCATCTCTACTTCCTGACTGGATGTTTTTCCTTCGATCTTGTATTTTGGTCTCTTCGGTTCTTGGTCGAGGTTTAGTCCTCCACCTTGGTCTAGTTCTTGGTCAAGTTCTTCTCGAGGACTCTCCTTCGTCAGGTCGATGTATCCAGACTTGGGTTCTTCTTCTAAGATGTGCCGTAGATTCGAGAGGCCTTCCATCCATGATGATAAAGATTGATGTTCTTCGGCACTTGCAAGTCTGAGTTGTTCAGGAGCTGCTTTAACGATGTGTCTCCGGAAGCTAATCCAGATCGCTCCAGGTGGTGAAGTCAGTATCACTTTTGCGGGTCCTCGCCAGTAACTTGGACTTTCTTTGCTGGCGTGATCTCCTGGCGCTTTCCTCCAAAAGAAGACGGTCTGACCCACTTCAAAATCTGTGACTTTCTCGTCTTCCGGCATGTAGTGAATTGGTGAGTGCTTGTTGGCATTCGACTTCATGGAATGCTCTCGCAGCAGCCAATCGCATCGTCTGAGCTCGCTGAATTTGTAAATCTCCTCGGTGTGCCCAGCTTCGAGCTTCCTTTTCTTCTTCAGTCAAAAACTGTAATCCTCGGGCATCTTTGGGGTGTATCCCAGCAATCTTTGGCAGGGCGAGAATCCAGATTTGTTTGCCAATCTGTTGACCGTCATGTTCACAATGTCTACCAAGTCTCGCCATTCCGAGTCCGATTGCACGGCATAGTTGTCCATTGCTTTCACCAGGATCTCCTTGAAGGTCTTCCCAGCCCTCTCGGTGATGGATCTCTGAGTGG